GTTCGCAATAGCCGCTTGCTCGACTATTTGGTGTGTGCTCACTCACTTGGGTCACATGGGGATAGGATTGATCCGTTGCGTTCTGCTTCTCTCAAGTGCAAGCAGCTCATCATTTTTTTGCGTTTAAAAATAGCTCGCACGGTAATTGGGTTAATTAACATTATGTCGCGTTTTGTGTTGACAGTTATGTAAGGAATACATAAAAATGACATGTTTTTTGTTGTTTTTTCATCCATTTCCCCCAATCAAATGTTTTAAAATCCCGCTTTGTAAATATGAATGTCTGTTACATGTGTTGACCTTATTTAAACCTTTTTGCTCAAAAAAAAACAACATTGTAAAACAGGCAACAGTTCAGTTCAGGATAAAATGTCATGATCCAACAATATAAAAGCATTTTCCTATGTGATTGTATAAACATTGTAGTGTATATCTGCCAATACTTGTTGATAAATTGTCAGTTATCAACATAAATAACAATAAATCTCCTGTAACACTTGGAATTTTGTTGCAGATGATTTGAAGGCAAACTTATAATTCAATAAGTTCCAGATCCAGTATCGATAAAACCTGATTCAAATATAATTATGATGAATAATAAATAATTTATAAATACGAGATTGGGTTGAACAGTGATACAATAAATATGGATTTTTACTTATGAATCATAATAGATATGAATTTGAACAATGCCCGGCCAATCATGCTCTGGGTCATTTTAATTTTTTTCTTGTCGTATGATGATGTGAGCATATCAAATTTCATCTCTGTATACGATATTAAAAATGGTTGTTATGTAACAAGAGTGTGACCGAGATATAGTTATTAAAAAAACAAAGTGCTCTATTTCCAGTGTATTTGCATTGTATTCACGCAATCTATGAATCGGGCTGTCGAACAACAATAATTAAGTTGTTTTTACCATCAACTCTTATCTTTCATTTCATCCAGAAATGTTATTATTGAGTGTTTTTCCACCTTTCCCCTTTTATGGTCATTTAATTCATTTAATAAAAAAAATGTCATGACAAGCACAATGTTGCATTACATCATTATTATTGGTATGCATGTTTTATCGAAAAACAGTTGTCGCGTGGTTAAAGCATACATATTTTTCATAT